TTGGAGGTGAGAAAGGGCAAGAAGAGTACCAAGTACCACCATTTACAGTGTTGGGACATGGATCCCTGTAGCCCAATTAAGTCCATGATTCTTGAGAAGTCTACCTTTCCTGAAGAAGCTAGGGAGTTGGGAGGAGGGGAAGTGGAGCTTAAAAAGAACTTGGTTTCTAACTGCTCCCATTGCAATATCTTATTATAAAAATGTGCTTTTTAAACATAGGTTTCCATCTTGTATTACTTTGTGTCTTGGAGTCTCTCCCTCATGAATTACTTTGCATCTTGTTTGAAGTGAACCATTTTAAAATTTATATCCTGTCCTACTTTTATTTCAAGACTTTACTTAAAATATCTTTTTTCTCTTCACCCTATTCAGATATGCATGAACATTTTATGCATTTCACACTCTTTAAGATGGAGAAAATAATATGCTAATCTGAATAGTGGTATAATCTGAGTAGGAATAGAGATTTTATTTTCAAAAGAGTGGACAATGATCTATCTTCCTATTGCTATCAGTTATCTCCACTGTTAATATAACACTCATGTAGAAAGACATGGATTAATAAAGCAAGTAAGTAGAACATGACTTTGGGAGTGTTCTTAATTTGGTGGAGCCCAGCATAGAAAATGTTTGCTTCTTGAGGCCAGATAGCCATCTAACTTTCTTTTGTATACCCTATTCCACTCAAGGAATCAAATACAGACACAATAGTTACTAAATGCATGCTTAGATTAATGAAATAAATATTCATTATTTCATAAGTATTTCTGAAATATGAAAAATCTAATACTAATATGGTTTGGCTGTGTTTCCATCCAAATCTCATCTTGAATTGTAGTTCCTATAATCCCCAAATATCATGGGAGGGACCCTGTGAGAGATAGCTAAATCACAGGGGCAGTTACCTTCTTGCTGTTCTTGAGACAGTGAGTTCGTTCTCATGAGATCTGATGGTTTTATAACGGGCTTTCCTCCCTTTATTTGGCACTTTTCTCTTCTGCAGTCATGTGACGAAGGACACGTTTGCTTCTCATTCTGCCATAATTTTAAGTTTTCTGAGGCCTAACTAGCCAGGTGGAACTATTGAGTCAATTAAACCTCCTTTTTAAATAAATTACCCAGTCCCATGTATTTCTTCATAGCAGCATGAGAATGGACTAATACCGTAAATTGGTACTGCAGCGAGTAGGGTGCTGCCATAAATATACCCAAAAATGTGGAAGCAACTTTGGAACTGGTTAATAGGCAGAGGTTGTAACAGTTTGGAGGGCTCAGAAGAAGATAGGAAAATGTGGAAAAGTTTGGAACTTTTTAGAGGCTTGGAGAGCTCAGAAGACAGAAAGATATGGGAAACTTTGGAACTTCCTAGACACTTTTGAACAGCTTTGACCAAAATGCTGATTGCGATATCGACAATGAAGCCCAGACTGAGGTGGACTCAGATGGAGATGAGGAACTTTTGGGGGACTGGAGTAAAGGTCATTCTCACTATGCAAAGAGACTGGCAGCATTTTGTCCCTGCCCCAGACATCTGTGGAACTATGAATTTGAGAGAGATATTTAGAATACCTGGCAGAAGAAATTCCTGCATAGCAAAGCATTCAATAGGAAGCAGAACATAAAGTTTGAAAAATTTGAAGGCTGATGATGTGATAGAAAAGGAAAACCTATTTACTGGGGAGAAATTGAAGAAATTCACTGTAGAAATTTGCATAAGTAACGAGGAGCTAAACGTTAATCACCAAGACAATGGGGAAAATGTCTCCAGGACATATCAGAGAACTTCAGGGAAGCTCTTCCCATCACAGGCTTGGGGGCCTAGAAGGAAAAATGGTTTTTTCAAGTGGGTCCAGGGCCCCCTGTTCTGTGCAGCCTGGGAAGATGGTGCTCTGTGTCTCAGCTGCCTCAGGTCCAGCCATGCTGAAAGGGGCCAAGGTACAACTCATATCATTATTTCAGAGGGTGCAAGCCCGAATCCTTGGTGGCTTCCATGTGGTGTTGAGGCTGTGAGTGCCCAGAAGGCAAGAATTAAGGTTTGGGAGCCTCTGCCTAGATCTCAGAGGATGTATGGAAATGCCTCTATGTCAGGCAGAAATCTGCCACTGGGGCAAAGCCTCATGGAGAACCCCTGCTCGGGCAGTGCAGAAGGGAAATGGGTTGGAGCCTTCACAAAGAGTCCGCATTGGGGCAGTACCTAGTGGAACTGTGAGAGGAGGACCACCATCCTCCAGACCCCAGAAAGGAAGATCCACTGACAGCTTGCACCATGGGCCTGGAAAAGCCACAGACAGTTAGTGCCACCCCATGAAATCAGCCAGGAGGGGAGCTGTACCCTGCGAAGCCACAGGGCAGAGCTTCCCAAGGCTGTGGAAGACCACCTCTTGCGTCATTGTGCCCTGGATATGAGAAATTGAGTCAAATTAATTAGATCATTTTTGAACTTTAAGGTTTAATGGCTGCACTACTAGATTTTGGGCTTTAAGTATTTCCTTGTTAGATTTCAGACTTGATGGGCCTGTAGACCCTTTGTTTTTGCCAGTTTCTCCCATTTGGAACAGGTATATTTACCCAATACCTGTACTCCCATTGTATCTACAAAGTAACTAACTTGCTTTTGATTTTCCAGGCCCATTAGCAGAAGGAACTTGCCTTGTCTCAGGTGAGACTTTAGACTTCAACTTTTGGGTTAATGCTGGAATGAGCTAAGATTTTGCAAGGGCATGATTGTGTTTTGAAATGTGAGGAGGACATGAGATTTGGGAGGGGTCACAGGCAGAATGATAGTTTCACTGTGTCCTCACCCAAATCTCATCTTGAATTATATAGTTTCCAAAATGCTCACATGTCATGGGAGGGACACAAGGGGAGGTAATTGAATCATGGCGGCAGTTGCATTCACACTGTTTTCCTGATAATGAGTTCTCATGAGTTCTCTAATTGTTTTACAAGTGGTTATTCCCCCTTTACTTGGCACTTCTCTCTTCTGTTGCCATGTGAAGAAGGATGTGTTTGCCTCCCCTTCTGCCATGATTGTAAGTGTCTTGAGGCTTCCACTGCCATACATAACTGTGAGTCAATTAAACCTCTTTTCTTTACAAATTATTCTTGGGTGTTTCTTCATAGCAGCATGAGAACAGACTAATACAAATTCTGTACTAAATTTTACTAGGAATCACACCAGGAAAGGTCAAAGAAGAGATTTTTGACTAGGAATTCAGTGCTGGTTTATGTGACCCTCTAGGGCTAGTGTGTGGACACATCCAACAAAGAGCCATGTTTATGGATGGAGAGGCTGGAAAGAATACTAGAAATCAGACAAGTGGTCTACAATTTTGAGTGTGCTGCAAAATCACCCAACTGGGGGCTTCATAAAGTAAAAAGTGACTGGCCCGACTTCCTGGGAATTTCTGATTTGTAGATTTGAAATGGGAGCTGAGAATTTGCATTTCTAACCATCTCACTTCCAGGTAATGCTGCTGCTGCTCATTCAGGTAACACACTTTGCAAATTACTGACTTAGACCTTTTTGGAGAGCTGGTCCAGTTCAGGGAATTTGAACAGGCTGCTTGCTCTGTGATCTGCACTGAAAAGAGGTGATTTCAGAGATTTCCAAGAGCAGTAGAGATAATGTACTAAAGGGATCTCAGAATAGTGTTAAGGGTCTTGCTTCCCCCTGATTTATACACTGACTATAATCTGGCAGAAAAAGGAGAGAATGGCCTCAATAACTCAGATGTGAGTTAGAATCAACTGAAATAAATGAAGTGGAAGATAGAATGCATGGAATTGCCTCATTAGTAGAGGTTAGACATCCCTAATCTAAAATCCAAAATGCTCCAAAATTCAAAGCTCTTTGAGCACCTGCATGATGCCACAAGTGAAAATTTTCATACCTGACTTTATCTGATGGGTCACAGTCAAAACAGAGTCAAAACTTTGTTTTGATCACAAAATTATCAAAGATATTGCCAGAAATTGCCTTTAGGCTATATGTTTAAGATATACAGAAATGAATTTTGTCTATAGACTTGAGTCCCATCCCCAAGTTACTTCATTATGTAGATGCAAATATTTCAAAATCCAAACAAATTCAAAATTCAGAACACTTCTGATCCCAAGCATTTTGGGTAATGAATATTTAACCTTTCAGTTAAATACCGTACTTTCAGTTAAGTTAATGTAACTTAGCAATGTAAGATCATGTACATTGATCTTATGTATATCTAAGATAATTTATTTAATGTGTATACCCTAGAGTATCTTTACTTCTGCAAGGCAAGTCTGTGCTCCTTACTTGACTGTGCCCAATCAAGGTAAAATGGGGAAGGCGGAGAAATGTCAGCCCAGGGAAAGGGGAAAGTCCATTCACCCTAGAGAAATGATTTAGAAGAAACCATATCCATTTCCCATCCATAGACCTTTCACTTCAATTATTGCTATCTCTCAGGTAAATAGCCTTAGGGAGTTTCTGAAAAAGTGGCAAGGGCTTCAGCAACCAGGTAGCATAGGGATGCATGTCACCTTATTGCAATACCGAAATGGAAACTACCTAAAATTTAGAACTGTTTTAATATGCTTCATTGTGCTCATCTAGTTAGGTTTCTTGAATTTTAGATCTTGAGTACAAAGGTCGCGCATACTGTTTTGCATTCCTTCCAGCTGAATTTCATATAATGTTGTAATCAAGGACTTGGGGAGACATTGGCATTTTTTTTCTTTACAGATTTTCTTTTTTGCCACCAAAAAGGAATCATGATATTACATTAAAATGAACTATGTCTCAAAATATAAAAACTTTTTGGTAATCAAATGATTACATATTCATATTTAATTTTTGTTAATTTGAATATAGAAATAAAAATCTGCTTGGTGATCCTTTCAAGGGAAAGCTGTAGCTCAGCTCATATATAAAAAGCCACACAAAAATGACTCTGGAGACCTTGGCTACACGTTCAGCAGTCAAATATTTCAATGCTCTGTTGCTCTTGTTTCTGCTACAGGTACATGTGACAGCGCTGCAGCTATGAGTGGAATTTTAAAGAGGAAGTTTGAAGAAGTTGACGGCTCCTCACCCTGCTCCTCTGTGAGGGAATCAGATGATGAAGTTTCCAGCAGTGAAAGTGCTGACAGTGGGGACAGTGTCAATGCATCCACTTCTAGTCATTTTACCCGTGAGTACCGAAATCAGAACCAAAGTCAATTGTATGGTTCTACAACAAAACTAATTGTGTCATTTTTATTTTTATCTTTAATTCAAGCTATGTATATTTTCCAACCAACTAAATACAAAGAACAGTTACCCAAAAATGCAATATTTTCCAGGTAACTCAGTAGATTCCTTTATTTAGGATGCTTTTTGCAGTGTATTATTTGATTGTGTTAACTAATTGAATTTAAGAATCACATTTCATTATTAATGCTTTTCCAAATGAATACCTAGTACTCTGGGAATAGACGGAGGAAGACAGATAATAACTCGTTTCAGATAAAGGTGTCCTTTCACAGCTGAAATGATGTTCTAGGAGAAAACATTTTAAAAGGCATTATTAAGGAATGGAGAGTCTAGATTATGATTAGAAGGAGTTTAGGCAGCCAGGGATTAGGAAGAGATGTGAAGGCAGCAGGTGTCTCCCAAATGTGCAAGTGTGTGCGATCCAGTGCCTCTTTGCTAGTCATTCCTCTAGTCTCTCTTCTCCAAGAATAATATTTAAAGTCCAACAAGAAACAAATTTTATGCTTTATTTTATTTTATTTTATTTTTTTGAGATGGAGTCTCACTGTGCCACCCAGGCTGGAGTGGAGTGCTGTAATCTCAGCTCACTGCAACCTCTGCCTCCCATGGTCAAGTGATTCTCCTGTCTCAGCCTCCTGAGTAGGTGGGACTGCAGGCGCACAGCACCAAGCCCGGCTATTTATTATTATTTATTTATTTATTTGTTTGTTTTTTATTTTTAGTATAGATGGGGTTTCACCATATTGGTCAGGCTGATTGCGAACTCTTTACCTCAGGTGATCCACCCACCTCTGCCTCCCAAAGTGCTGGGATTATAGGCATGAGCCACTGTACCCGGGCTATGCTTTCTTTTTGATTTCTTTTTTTTTTGCCCCAATGTAATGTCAGCCTTTCTGTCAGGCAAGATAAAAGGAGGTTTGAAGGACTAATATAAAAAATTATTAAGGCAATGTAATCTATAGTCTAAAGGAAACTGACTAGCAATAGTCAAATGATCTTTTTAAAATTTATGTTTCTTAAACAGGAATATTTTAATATGTTTTAATATCATGATAGATAACTGGTCTTTTTTTTTTACTTTCCAATTAGTTAATATATGACTCTATAACAAGGAATTGACTTTGGCAACGTCGCAACTCCAAAAACTAAATGATTTAAACATATTTTTAAGAGGTGATAAGAAACTCAATAGCTGTTGCATATGAAACAAATATGGCAAAATCAATAGCATTCCATTAAGCAAGCACAACTAATTAGATAATATGATGAAAAGATTACAATTATTATGGCAGAAAAATTCATAAAATATTTAGGGACAAAGTTATGATGTGATGTAGGTGGTTTACAGATACTTTGACATATATCCATGATAGTATGAAATGAGCTTGCACTTTTGATTCAAAAGAAGAGATGTACTTAGATTTTTCATCCTAATACTAGTAGTGATAATATTATTATCTCATGGGTTTTTGCAAAGATCAAACAGTGCAAGTGAGATAATACACATGAAAAAACTTTGTAAAATGTCAAGTACTCAGCAGATGTTAAATTAAAAATTATGATCATAGCTAACATTTATTGGATACAGGCTATGCTCCAATAGCTTTATATACATTATCCATATTCCTTACAACAATTCTGAAAGTAAGTAGTATTGCCTCCACTTTACACAGGAAACAACTGAGGCTCAGAGAGGCTAAGCATCTGGCACAAGATCACACAGGAGTTGAGCCTAGATATATACACATGTCCTACTACATAGTCTCTACCTGTTGCATCATGGTCTTATTTTGCCCCTTAATTATATAATATTGGACATATCTTTAAAATGTTATTTCTTGTGAGTTATAATGGAAGACTTGAGTTATTGAAGAGGCAGATTATGTTTCTAGATATAAAGATAATGTCATTAATGGTTTCAACATTAATTTATAAATATAAGAGAAAAACTGAAGCAAAATCTTCAACTGGCATTTCTTAGGTGACAGAATGATAAAAATTGATTTGGAGAAATAAACTAATGAGAATAAAAAGATATTTTTAAAAAGAAGCCATAAATGTTGAAAAGCCATTCCAGATATCAAATTATAGTAGAAAACAATGTAACTGATGTTTTTGCATAATGTATTCTATTTAGGAACCAACATGTTATATATGAAAATTTAACATATATAAGAAAAGAGCATTATAAGAAAATGAGAAAGGGAAAGACTATTTAATAAATGGTTGTGGTGGTAAGAAATTTGAAAAAGAAGTGATTTAGACTTATATTTTACAATATAGGCCAAAATACCAGATAGATTACATGGATAATTTTTTCATTAATGAGGAAAGTTGTATTTTGCCAGACATTTAGCTGAATCACTACATGAACTTTGATATAAGAGAAGAAAAAATAATCACATTAAAGATACTTAATATATTTAATGATGTAAAAATATTAAACTTATCTGCTACTTAAAAAAAACAAAGCCCAAAGTAAAACAATTTATATTGGAAAAAATATGTGCAGTTAATATAGCATTATTTTCTGTACAGAGCATAGCAAAAGTACATGTAATTTCTTGAGATAAATACGAAAACACATATCTTTAAAGTAAATCCACATAGTAGGAAATATGATCAGCAAATATTTTAAAGCAATTAACAACAATAGTAACAAAAATGCAGACTAAAAATACTAATGAGTTTTCATCAGTATGAAATCACAGAGATTTCACCCCTTGAAATTGGTACTCATTTATCCAATAAAAAATACTAATACATAAGTGCTGGTGAAGTTTGCAGCACATTGTAGTCACACACGTCTATTAATGGCATTGATATTTAAAAAGCACTTTGGAAATACAAGAGCCATAAAAACATTCATAAGTCTGTACTTCAGAGAATTTTTCTGAAGAAAGAAACATTAAAATCAAGGTGAAGACTGTATAAACGAAAATATTTGTGGTTGATAATAGTACCGAAAAAGAGGGATTGGACAGGAGGGAGAGAAACGACTGTGTCTAAGAGCGAGGAAATGAGCCATTAAGTTATGGTAACATATTCATTAATTTATTTTCTTTATAGTTATGAAGACCTTTTGGCAATATGTACAATGTTTGTGAAATAACGATAAGGAAGAAAAGCAGGACACGATATTTTATCTGTACTGTCAGGCAAAGTCTAAGTCTATGCCTGCACAAAGGTAAAGAATGGCAGGGTGTCCCAATAACTGGAAACAATTTGATTTGTTGAGGAATTAAAATTACAAATGAATTTTTATATTTATTAATTTTTATTTCTGTGAATTTTATATGTGTTCTCACAACAAAGTAACCAATTTAAACTGCTAAAAATTATAACTGTAGTTCACATTGTGTTTATGTTTGCAAAACAGCAGATCGAAATGGCATGATAAGCTAAGATATATGTCAGTCAACAAATACAGACTTTGTTATAAGTTATGTTCAACAGAGATTATTTTTTTCATTGAAGAAAACAGACTTATTTTACGACAGAGATTTTTTTTTCATTGAAGAAAACAGACTTATTTTACGATGTCTAAGAAGGCATTGAAGTGTTTCAGCACATCATTTAATATCAGTGGTAGTGGCAATGGTTAGTTTATAACATGCTGTTTTAGCTTTGTATTAAATAGAATCTGGCAGGGATTTCTCATGCTTTTTAAAAATAATTAAGAAAATATTTAATAAAAACTGCTATTTTCATTTAATAGTCTGCTTTGTTCACTATATTCACATTATGAAGAGATATAAAGTGGGAACAATAGTAAAGAATCAAAAAAACAAAAATTCTACCTGGAATATTTGTTGCAGAAAACATTTGAGAGGTTGGGCACAGTGGCTCATGACTATAATCCCAGCACTTTGGGAAGGTGAGGCAGGAAGATTGCTTGAGCCCAGGCATTTGAGACAAGCCTGGGTAATAAAGTGAGATCCCCATCTCTAAAAATTTTTTTTTAAATAGTCAATTATGGTGGTGCATGCCCAATGGTCCCAGCTACTTGGGAGGATTTCTAGAGTCCAGGAGGTTGAGGCTGCAGTGAGCCATGATTACACCACTGCACTCCAACCTGGGTAACAGAGTAAGAGAAAGAAAGAAAAAAAGAGAGAGAAAGAAAAAAGAAAAGAAAGAAAGAGAGAAGGAAAGAAGGAAGGGGGGAGGGAAGAAGGAAGGAAGGAAGGAGAAAGAGAGAGAGAAAGAGAAAAAGAAAGAAAAGAAAAAGAGAGAAGAAAGAAAGAAGGAAAGAGAGAGGAGGGAGGGGAAAGAAAAAAAGAGAGAAAGAGGAAAAGAAAAGAAGAAAGAGTAAAGCAAAGACTAGAGGTGGGTTTTTTGTTTGTTTGTTTGTTTGTTATTTTTGTTGTTGTTGTTTTGAGACAGGGTCTCACTGTTACCCTGGTAGCTGGGACCACAGGTGCATACCACTACCTACTAACTGGGCCATTTTTTGTATTTTTTATAGAGATTGGGTTTCATCACGTTGCCCAGGCTGTTCTCAAACTACTGAGCTCCAACAATCCCCCTACCTCAGCCTCCCAAAGTGCTAGGATTACAAACATGAGCCACAGTGCCCATCCTGTCATCTAAGTGTTTTAGCCAGTGTGGGAGGAGTAGCTAATAGAGGTTTTTATTTCTAGAAATGTATTTCAGATCATTTGCTAGTCTAAACATTGATACATAAATGTTTAAAAGACTTTTTATAATGTCTACATGAAGGTATGGGCTTCTCTGCAATGGTTTTGTTGGATGTTAATCTATGGTTTATAACCATAGATTATGTCATTACTGGTAAATGACATAATCTAATCAGAACTGTCATTACTGGTAAATCCTATTTCTTTAGTCTATTTTTTTTTTTTTACTTAAAAATGATTATTTGTCTTAAAGAAGGATTTTTGAAGATTATCGAATTTGTGTAGCATTAACAAATGATTT